GTAAGGATCAGCAGCACCAATGCCACTCAAGCCTTAGAAATGCAAATCAGCCCTGTGGTGGAGGGTGATAAACTGGAATCTCTGGGTGCAGGGCCCATGGGAGCACATGCTTGAGATGATTCTCATGCATGCTGAAGGTTCCAAACACTCTATATAACATCACAGACATCACAGAGTTTGCAGGTTTGGAGCATTTATGCTTTGCAAAGCAGCTTGCCATCTGGTGTCTCACCTGAGTGGGCCTCACTACTGGCCTCATCACAGGTAGGGGCATTATTATTAATCCCAGATTTACCCGGGGAAATATGAAAGCTGAAATACTTTGACAGTTCACAAAGCTTGGTGGCAGTGGAAATAAGAGTAGAAGTGGCCTCTCTCCACCACACGAGTTTGCTTTCTGGCTCACATAAAGATGGTGTTCCTGACTCATTTCCTGGGATTGATTTTGTTTTTCCTCTGGAGAAGGGAATTATTTGCCCTGACATATTCATTCTCCCACCCACACCCCCCACTGCAATCAATGGCAGGCCTCTCAGACATAGTGGACATGTCAGGAAGTCTGATCAGCAGTCACAGAGTAAATGGATCTTAATTAGCTCACCTGAGAATCAAACTGATGACTTAGATTCCTAAGTCATCTCCCTAGAGAACTTGTACATTCTTGTACTAAAACTAATATACAACTAAGTAATAAGAATATATTCCTAAAAATTTAACTTTTATCATCTCTAGGAAGTGGATTTATGAATAAGCTTTCTAATGTTCCACTATGAGGAAATATTATTTTTGGGGTGGGGGAAGACCCCTCCCAGCTTCACTGAGATATATCAGACATATAACACTGTGGAAGTTGAAGGAGTACAGTGTGTACACTTGATACACTGACATACTGCAAAATGATCATCGGCTCGGCACTGGCTAACACCTCCATCACATCACATAATTACCATTTTTTTATGGTGATTCCACGAACCTTTCTTCAATATGACAGTGGGCACAGAACGTGCAATGTTCTCTGCTGTTTTTTACCAGACACTGAATCTTCTTTCATTCACAAGGCAGACCAGGAACACTGCAGAATGGCTTCCTCCCTGAAAGGAGAAGGACCTCTGGCAGCCATGGCCCCACTCCTTCGATCCTCATTGCCTTCTTCAAGACCAACAGTTTCACTGAAGTGCAACAGGCTCCGGCACCTCCCCTGTGATGAGTTTCGTGTCTTAATGTTTAAACAGGTACGTCTGCAAACAGATGGCACAGTTGCCTCACACCTGCCCATCATTCTTTTACGGCATTCCTTTCTCTTTTACATTCCTGACAAGCCATCACCCCTTTGGGAAGATCTATTTCCTCCATGTCTTCTTCATGCTCTTCCCATGTGTTAAATATTAGAGAACTTCTTCCAGCTTCTTTGAAACAACAGTGACATGAACATGCTCATGAGCTAGATTCTGGGAAGGAAGCGACGATCAGGCAGCAGGAGCTGAAGAAACTGGCTGCGAGCAGCACCGGCTGCAGGTCACATCAGCCATTGGAAACTGAAGACACGGCCGCTCTCCTGAGGACATGCCGGTGGCAGGGGGTTTGGGAGGATTAGCAAAGCGCACGTTCCCCGAACGCTTATCAAGCTGGCAACGACAGTGGTTGAATATTCTCCATTAACAGTAAACAGAGGTTTATAGACACTAGGTAGATTATGAATGACAAAATATTTCTCCTATAATAGACAACCGATAGTGTGGAAAGTTTTAGTTTAGATAGTCCGGGGGTCAATAATAATAATAATAATAATAATAATAATAATGGAATCACCAAAGCGATTTTTAAAAACTGGCTGAGAAAGGACACTGGCTCTGCAGGGAGTGCAAACAAGACAACTGCAGCTTGGTCCCCTCCACTTGGCGAACAAAGTCGCACACAACAGTAATTCTCTTTCCATAAAGACAAATGAAAGCAGGCCTGCAGTGCATCACAGGCAGAACATATTTAATAAGATGATGCTGACCAGTGGCACTTTGAGAGAAAGTCACAGAAATGGCGTCTTGCCTCAGAGCAGCACGTGCTCGCTGATAACCTGGAAGAGGCTTTCCGCCGGCGGGTGAGGGAGAGAGCGTGCCTGTCGGGGACGGGAAATCACGGTTCCTTTTGGCTGTGCTCCAACTTTCGATAAGAAAAACCGATTCTTACACCTTTAGCATAAGGTTCTTTATGGTAATGGTAAAAAAAAAATTGCGTGAAATATTGTGACTTTCCTTCTTTCTAAAATAAATGCCACTAACACCTCCCAGTCAAGTCCGATGAACACAAAGTACCGTGCAAACTTTGAGGGATGCTCCGACAAGACCCTTTCTCAAATCCTAAACCTCTAGAAGCAACAAGGATGCTAATCATGCTTTTTCAATGAAGTTTCCAAGGTAATTAACTCTTGAGAAGTTATAAAGCATTTGATAGCACACAGCCACCACAAATTAGCTCAAAATTATTAGTTGTTTGGAATCCCAGCCTAAGAACCTAATCTTTGATCTTCAAAAAGTGGTTCAATACCAGAGAGAAAGGTGGTGGGGGTGGGGGCAGTAAAGTGTACAGGGGATCAAGTGTATGGCCAAGGAGAGAGATTTGACTTTGGGTGATAAACACGCAATGCAAAATATAGATGACGTATTATATAACTGAACACCTGAAACCTACACAATTTTATTAACCAATGTCACCCCAATAAATTTAATAAAAAAATCTTTAAGTGGTTCACTCCAAATATTTGCTTTCTCTGTACTATTTTATCTCAAAGAGTTTGGGCACAACATTGCAGATTTGTACATTTTATAAAATACGGTTATGTTATGAACAGCTTACATTCTGCCTACGAAAGCCTTTAAAATACTGGCCAAAGAAACAAAACTTAAAGAAGGAAAAAAACCCTCTTGCTGACTCATTCCTCACAGGGAAACATTTATTACTTCCAGGGACGGTATGCTGAGTTCTCACTCATGAGTTCTGGAAGGGCTCAGGGAACAGAAGAGGAAGAGGTCAAAATCATTTGAAAGACACATTGCTTTTAAGGGTACTGTAATGAAATCTGCAGAAAAGGTATTGATCCGTGCCCTTTTGTTTTATTTACAATATATGCTATCCTCATGTTATCTCCCTATGAAAGCTCAGCGTATTCATCTCGGGACTTGCAGCAACAGGGCAAACAGAAAACCAGAATTCTAGAGTCTTTATTAGCAAGAAGGCAAAAGGTCTTCAAGGAAATTCAGGCACCGGGTGAAGAAAGATGTTCAATTTAGAACCATTCCTCGGCCTCTCTGGATCCCACTGGGAGTGATCAAATAACAAGGAGCTGAAGGAAGAAGCAAGAATCAACAAGCGTGTGGATTCATACACACACACACATATGTGTGCGACAATGCTTCCCGGTGCTCCCCTACTAAGCTCTAACCATATGACCTCACTGAATGCCAGCAACCCTATAAAAAAGGTATTTTTCTCAGATTACAGAGCTGGCATTCAAAGTCAGGAGTACTCGACTCCAAAATCTATGCTCATCAAAACATGCACCTTGAAATATTCTCTGGCAGGGAGGGGTGAAGGATGGTTTTTTCAACAATTGTACTTTTGAATGAAGTTTACAAGGGAACTAGTTTTTGAAATTCTAAAGTATAATTAAAATTAATGTTATTTAGATACTTAAAAGAATATAAGGATGAAAATAGAATACATTTTTTAAATCCTCACCCAAAGATATGTTTATTGATTTGAGAGAGAGAGAGAAAGAGAGAAACATCGATGTAAGAGAGAAATCTCAATCGGTTGCCTCCTGTATGCACCCCGACCAGGGATCAAACCCTCAACCTAGGTGTGTGCCCTGACTGGGGATCAAACCCGCAACCTTGTGGTGCGAGATGACACTCCAACCAGCTGAGCCACCTAGCCAGGGCCAGAATACATTCTTTTTCCAAAAGAATTTAAAGTCTGGGTAATTCTACAGTAAGTAAACTATTATTATTTCTCCCTAAATCCTTTAAAAATAATAATTTTAAAGCCCTAAGTACAAATAGCAGCATTTCCTTAACATGTCAACAAGATCGTGACGCCTTCGACACACTGTCTAGCGCCTCCCCAGAACTCATTATCTGAACGGAGCACATGCTCTGCTGTGCCCTCTGCTCTCAGATGAAAATGGGGTTTCCTTTGTCCTCCCCCCGCGCCCCCGTGCCAAATTCCCGCCCTGTACTTGTCTAGTGTCTGGGAAGAGCCGGGGGTCAGAAGCAGGGGAGAACAGAGAGCTGTGTGGAGTGAATCTTGGATTTTCCAGGAAAGCCTCCGTTTCAAACATCTCGTCCCACCCACCATCAGATGACCTTAGTCTATGATGCCCTGCACTCTGGTTCGGCGCACATGGTCTCCCAATGTACGACCATCGAGCAGAGTTTGGGTCAGAACACAATTTCAGTTTCCCCTTACACAATAAGACTTAGGAATCCAAACCCTATTAGCAGTTTTGAATACATACAGTAATTCCTGAGACCAATTTACCTACTTACAAATATGACCACAAATTAAAGGAGAAACCATGGGGCAAGGAAGACCATGGACTTGCATTCAATTCCCAGGTCACCTACTTGTTCTGTGACCCTTGACTTAATCTCTGAGCCCCAGTTCCCCTAACTGTAAAATGGGGGTACTAAGTAAGTAGCACATAAAGTTGTAGTGAAACTTAAATAAAATAATACAAACATAAATTGCCTTGGATTCTGCTTAGTACTTAGTAAATATACAATAATTGCTTCATTCTCTGAGCACGGAAAAAATGCTTTGAAACTTCAGAACTATGTCAAAAATCAGCTGAATTATACCTATTCGAGCTGTTTTCACCAATCTGCATTTGTACGGACTATACTACCCCGAATTCAAGAAATAACATCAAAAGAAGATAACTACTTACCTCCCACCCTAGAAAAGGTACAATAGTTGCCAACAACCCAGCCCGCACCCCCACCTACCTGGGCTGGTTCTCCGCAGTGAGGTTCTCCCCCCTTTGGTAGCTGCTGTCCGCCACCTGCGTTGTGGACCTCTTCACGATCTGCTTGAGCTCCTGCTCTAGGCGCTCCTTGATGGCCTTCACGGTCTCGGGGATCTTCTTCAGCTTGGCGAGCCCCTTGATGAGGATGCCCATGAAAAGGGCGCTGTTGTCCTCCGGATCCAGTTCCAGGTCCTCCTTGATGTCCTGCAGGTTTATCTCCCTCCCTGCAAAAAAAAATCAATTAATAAATGGATGCAGATTCCAACATAAAATTCAACAACAGAGTGGGCCTAGAAAATGGGATCTCTGCTTCGATCACTCCCTTAAATAAATCAGAGATTTTGAAATCATATTTGTAATTAAATTATATTTACATAGTAACTAAAATATAACAAAATAACAGTACATTCTTTTTTTCTTCATTTTAAAGATTTTATTTATTTATTTTTAGAGGTGGGGAAGAGAGGGAGAGAAACACAGCATGAGAGAGAAACATTAGTTGCATGTCGCACACCCCCCTGACCAGGGAAGGAACCCACAACCCAGGCAAGTGCCCTGACCAGGAATCGAACCAGCGACCTTTCATTCTCTTTGCAGAATGATACCCAACCAATTTAGCCACACGAGTCAGGGCAACAGGACATTCTTCAAACTATACCCATCAGCTAGTAATAAGAGACAAAAAACAATTAAAAACAAGTCAGCAAATCTCCACGGGAAGTTCACACAGACTACCACTTCCAGAATGAGTCAGTCAGCCTGTGACATTTATTAAGCATTCACTGTTTATAAAATGTCATACTTGGCATGAGACTTTGAAAGAGAGAGACCACAATCTCAAATTCTTATTTATTAATTAGAAGAGATAAATAGCTGATATAAAGACTATTACAAATACACGTAGAAGAGGTAAATAAGATAAAATTATAACAAATGATAAAAAGGGGGAAGAAAAATAAAAGAAAAACAATACATACAAGTGAGACAAAACTGAGGAAATGAATAACAAAGAATATTTCATAAATACAAAAAACCCTGTTTCTTTAAACATTATGTCTAATAAGCATTCTTATCTCCTGAAGACTGGTCTTGCTACTGCATGCACATTTTCTGAGAATAAGTCTACGTCACAAGTCTCTGAAGACCTTTAGGCTACAGCTTTCATCCAACTGTGCAGTTCTGAAATGCAAGGAACAGTCTGGAACGTTCCTAACCCCTGTGGGAACCTGGGAGAGGGGTGGAATGAAACCTGAGGCTTTTGTAATCTGCTGAAAACCACAGGTGCATATGTGTAAAACGTGTCATATGACTTCAGGGCCGTCGCTACTGCCAAAAGCAGCACAGGGTGAAAACGTCTGGCCCTAAAATAATGACCTCATTTTACAAGTGGCTGGACTAAGACAGGCAGAGCAAAAGTGAGTACAAGCTTAGATATGGACCCTAATGGTTAAAGTTTGCCCGATCCTCCCCTCTCCTCCACTCATCAGAACAACTGGAACATTGTACAATATGTGATACTCTGAAAGCACATACACGTTCTTCTTTGGCAGACTCAGGCTCAACCACACAAGCAGCCCACTCGAGGATGTTCAGCAGCACTGGGCACCCCAAAGAACGAAAGGATCCCAATCCATGGAGTGAGTCCTTGTAACTAACCACTGCGTACATTTTCGAAGACCTCTACTTCAGATGACATGTAGGCTATTTTCCTCGGTCCCTTTTTTTGCTCCCAACTCATAAAATGCACTTCAATATGAACCAAAGGTATTTAATGATATAATTACTTGGACGAGCTTAATCTAAAACAAGTCCTCTGCATACTTGTTTGTGATGCTGTTGTCTTACTTGGATGCACTACACCCCTGAAGCCCATGAGGAGAGAAAAGGGCTTAAAGAATGACCAGATTCATACCGCTTTCTTTACACCACAGAAGGCATTTGATTATATGGTATATAAATTAATTTTTTTTAAATACTAGTAAACTGGAAATAGAACCAAGAAGCCTTATGCCTCTAAGGATCACATGACAATTCTGATGGCAAATCAAAAAAAAAAAGCCATTGAGCTCTGACGGGTACGGCTCAGCAGGTTGGGCATCATGCTGCAAAGCAAAAGGTCACTGGTCCAGCTTCCCGGTCAGGGCACAGGCCTGGGTTGCGCCCAGTTCTCAGTCCAGGCATGTGCGAGAGGCAATGGATCGATGTCTCTCTCACACATGGATGTTTCTCTCCCTCTCTTTCTCCTCCCTTCCCTTCTTGCTAAGAATAAATAAAGTTTAAAATCTTGTTTAAAAAAGTCATTGATATTTCCCAGAGTGGCAGTTCCTAAATACACATTTTAGTTGCAGTTTTGTTTTATACATAAGGAACTAGACACAAAATGATGTGAGACCAACCCCAAAAGCAAGAAGAAAAAAGCACTTAGCAGCCAAGGGGCCATGGAAATGTAACCTGTCAGAGGGAGAAAATGAAACAGAAAGATAAGCAGAACTTCAGGCAGGAAAAAGTAACAGAAATGTATCTGGGACAAAACGATCTTCACTAAAGAGGACAAATAAGTCACAAAGAGGACCATGCGAAAGGCCACCTGAAAAATCACCGCCACCTGCCACTGGAGTGATTGGTGATGAGATGAATGTGGTGTGAATCAATGGGCCCCTAGATTATGTAGCAAAAAGCTACTTATAGTCTCACTAATATGATACATAGCCTATTAAAAAATAAATAAGCAAGGTATGCGCGATAAAATGCCACGTCTGTTTAGAAGCTTATCTATCTGTTTGTCTCCTGAAATCTCCTAGAGCATAAACACTGAGCAGATCCAATATTAATTAATTTATACTCTCTATTTCACTTACATCAGCTGAAAATTAAAAGGCAATTTAAAAGGATAATATAATCAACCACGAAGACTCGAGTCTAATAATCACAAAAACCCTGCGAGGTCAGATAGAATTATTGGTGCTTTATGGAAAAAGCCTTGTACAAAAATAATTTAGCTGAAATTCAGTACGGCCTCATACCACAATTAGAACAAAATGTACATATTTCCAGGCCACTAAACCCCAAAGCATTTTCTTGCATCTGTATGGGTCTAATATGTGCTCAGTGTGTGGGTTTTAGAACACTCGAACAAACACTTCACTCCCTTTCCCAATTTCTCATCTTCGATATTTCTGCTTTGAGTAGCTTGAGGAGTTCTTGAGCCTGGTTTTGAAGACTTTCGCTGACAGAAGAGCACTAAATGTTAGAAGACTTCCATGTCTTTCAACCAGTTATGTCTATCACAATCCCACTGGCCCCGACTGTTTCTTACTAGACAGGCAGGCAGGCAGGCAGGCAGGCACGCGTACCTACACGCCCACATCTAAGTGGACGTGAAGCCCACCAGCGGTTGAGGGTGAGCGCGGCATCCTGAAGGAGGCTGAACTAAGGCACTCTGGGACTCACTAAATAATTAACTAGATGATATCTAAAGTCCTTTCAAGCTCCACAATTTCACAATTCCAATAACTACAGTTTAAATCCATACATATCTGATTACCAGGCCTATAGTTGATTCTGTATACTACCAATATTATTGACATAGCCCATTAAAAAAATGGATAAACAAGGTGAACAATCCACTTGTGCAGCTGAATATTTTATAAAAGAAAACTACTTCTTTGATGCCCAGAGCGTACAGAAAGCAATCCAGACCAGTCCACAGCTGCTTTCTTCTCATGGTATGCAGGGAAAGGAAAGGCTGGTAATGCATGCTGCACCCGTACACATGTATCCTCAAATTGCTAAAGATAAGTTCCCTGGCAAAACACTAGTTTCGAGTGAATACACTATATTCATCTATCATTTATACTTATACATGTTAATTAAGGTATAAGAGATCATGGCAATGTTTACTGTAGAAATTCCTGCTAGGTGTCATTCCTTACATTATACACAATACCTAAATTACAAAACAGATATGTTTTTGACCTGCATAATTTAATTTACACGTATTCAAGAACATTATCCCTATAGAAGAGAACTGTCTGCCACTGTTGAACAGAATTCAATATAAAAAGGAGTCTCCAAACAATCCCAAGCCTAATTAAGACCTCTAAGGTATCAGGACCACGTGCCCACCGTGCTGCCGTCTCCGCAGATGGGAACCTGGCCTCGGAACACTGGCAGCATTCTCAAGCAGAAAATAATAAGAAAGTTGCCACTTCAAAGTAATTCTTGTGTCTCTTGGTCAAAATTCTACAAATTCATACTTTAGATATCCAATCTACTAAAAAAAGCATTATTACATATAAAATGTAAAATAAGAAATTTTAAAAAGTCCGGCTCCCAATGGAGAGCCAGCATTTCCGCAGATGGGAAACGCACACAGTGCAGTGTGTGGGGCCAGAGCACGTGTCGGAGGGGCTCTGGGTGGGGAAGCAGGCCTGGCGGGCAGGAGCGGCCTGCCTAGGCTTCCAGAGGCCCGGTGGCTGGGGAGTTGACGAGATCCTCCAAGGGCTGTCAGCACAGGCCCAGATCAAGCTCTAGCCCTAGACGGACAGGTTGCGGGTCTCACCAAATCCTGCTCCTCCATTCACGTCCCAGTGGAGGTACCTGCTCAACTACACGTCTTCAATACCATTTGTTTCACCATGAAAAATTGCTTCTAACATCTTTTATTCTAATTAATGTGCCGTGGAGTCGACTTAGACAGCAATATCTGATACACTGGTTGCCTCTGGAGTACAGAATCTTGATTGGGGTCTTTCAAATGTTAACTAACTACCCCTGGAGTGTGGAGTCCTGATTAAGGTACTTCAAAGGTGTTAACTAAGCACCCCTAAGGTGCAGATTAAATTACTGTAAAGAAAACTACAGACCACATAATATCCCACTCTGAGAGGGGACTGCCAAGAGCTATTGCCAACTGCTTCTTGGGGCTATCGCTTAACAGGAGCTGGGATTTTTTTAGCCTGGGCACAGGAATGGTTTCGATTCTGAGGTGGACATAAACCCCACACTGCACCGAGTTTTGAAAGCATAGTGATAGCCCTGGCTGGTGTGGCTCAGTGGACTGAGTGCTGGCCTGCGAACCAGAGGGCTGCCAGTTTGATCCCCACTCAGGGAACATGCCTGGGTTGCAGGCCAGGTGCCCTGCAGGGGGCACACAAGAGGCAACCACACCTTGATCTTTCTCTTCCTCTCTTTCTCCCTCCCTTCCTCTCTCTAAAAATAGTTG